GAGAGAGATTTTCTGCATAAAATATTTATATAAATTGAGAATGCTTAAGAATTTTTGTATAATTTTATTTGTGTAATTAAGTTGTCAAAAGAGCATGTAAGGCATATGAAAATGTAGATCAATTGGATTGTGGTACGCAAGAATTTCCCTGATATTGTCTTTTCAGAATGAGTTAAGCTCCATTCCCTAAAGTTAAACGAGTATATTGGTTGTGCGCAATGCTCGTCTTGCTATTGAGATTAGAGAATTGAAATTTGGCATATATAGCCATGGGTATACTCTTCTGATTTAGGAGCGTATCAAATAAGGAAATGCTTTCTAAGGTATCTCAGAGACTTGCTTAAAAGGCATATTCTGGCAATTGAATAAGTTAAGGCAGACTCCTTTACGACTCTCAGCCGACTCCTTCCTTACTCTGTCCTCTCTTCATTACTCAACAAAAGACAATAGTTTGAATACCATGAATGAGTATTATGCAGTCGGAAGTGCCTGTCTGTGAAATTCTTACTTGTTTTGTGTTGAAATTATGAAAATTAAATAGAAATACTTCTGGCTTCACCCTCAATTCCCATAAATTTACAATTTAAAACAAGCAGAAACACACATAATTACTTAGTGCATAGCTCTTATGGGAAACTTTGTTTTCCAAAGGTGTTTCCTACACACGCACACACTCATAAATATATGCTTCGATGATTTATACATTTGCCCCGCTTCCTTCTGCTGTTGCTGCTGCTGTGTGGCAAAGGGGCGTGGCAAAGGAAAAGACGGAGGCACAGGGAAAGGCAAAAGCAACGACTGCAAAATCGCAGCGCGACAAAAATTAAAATTGCAGCAAAATGGTGAAACAAAGGCTCAGGCCAGAGCCAAAGAGAACGCATTTACGTGCTGCTTCTCGCGGAAGCAATTCATTTATTTAATGTTTCCTGCATTTTATTGTCGTCTGAAACTGAACAAAATTTACGACAATGGCAACATTAACGACGGCGCAGTACGCAAAATGTTTAGAAGGGCAAGCAAAACAAAAATATAAATAAACAAGTAAGAAAGCTCTAGTCGAGACTGCTCGACTACGAGATCCCCTGAACCCT